CTTATCTCTCCACCACAAATAGTAAAGACAATATTCATATCCTTCATTGTTGTACTTCGGGTGCAGCATATCAACCATCTTGCAGCCTCCACTTATTTAATCAGGGAATTTCCTCAAAAATTCCACCTTCAAAAATTCTACAAGCAGTATCCCATAAATCATTTAAACTTGATTCAAGACATAGTCCATAATAGGAGTACCCCAAGGTTGGAAGTAACTACTCCAAAAGTAACCTTACCCCTATGATGAAAGTTTTCCAAATAGGATTCCACTGAAAATAATAGCACCAAACCACTTGTTCGACACAAATCTGGAACCAAGACAAGAGCAAATGCTGAGGCAAGCTGATGATGTTAAAAGCAAAACAGAGTAAAGAAAGCTTAAACCTAAATGAACTTTTCCTTCCCTAGTGCATGAAGTCCTCCAAGTTACTTTCTTGTTTTTTCAAAATTTACCTTTTTTGTTTCTCTTTGATTGGAGATATACGTAATATGGCAAAATTAATATTGATGCAATACACCTATTTAACTTCTATGAATACTTGAAATCCAGTTCATATAACGAAAACACGCACTTTCTGTTGCAATCAACCCGGGATGAAAGGTCGGCAGTCCAAATCTGCCAAGCTAATTGTCCAGATGCAGCCGCCAAAAATGCATAGTATGGCCACCCTGCTCCATGGTTGAAAGATTGGTGTGAGTATGTGGCATAAGGAAAAATAATTGGATTGAAGTTCCAATAACGGTAAAAGAAAAAATTAGAAAAATAAAACAAATAGAATATGAAAATAAAGGAGGAAACAAAACCAATTTCAGCATTATATCCACTGAGGGCAAGACTGCTGATGCACACAATTCCAAACCCAGTAATCCACTCCTTAGTTGAATCACCAAATCTCAATGCTGTAGACTTAACACCTACTTTCAGATCATCTTCCTTATCCTGCAAGTATAGTCAGAAACATCATTTGTTGGATTGCGTTGAAAAAGTTCTCTTATTCCTAGTTTCATCAGTCAAATCTTGGAAACTACAACTTCTGACCATGGGAGTATTACAGTGACATATTTGCTTTACCTGATGTGCGTATATCGTATCATACACAAGTGTCCAGCAAACTCCAGAAAGGTACAATGGGAGCACTATGGCTGGATCAATGCTTCCTTTAACTGCAGCCCATCCTAATAAAGCTCCCCAATTAAAGGTCAAACCTAGATAGGCTTGAGGCTGCACCAAACGTGATAGCATTTACCAATTAATTAGTCAACTGTTAAGTTTCACATCAAAGTTAACGAAAGAAGAAAAAGTCAGGGTACGTTAAGAAACCAGAGGTTTGATTACCCAGAATGTCAACCTTTTCATGAGAGGATACGAGAAAACTAGCAACAACGATGAAGCCCCCAAAATGCGGCTGTCAATTTCAATGAAGTAAACAGAGCTTCATGTGCTTGCAGATAATATTGGTTTAACCAGATTTATTAACTAAATGGCTACGGATACAAGGGCAGAAATACAAAGTAAACTAACCTATAATTATTCAGTTGAAGGAGAATTCCAAGACCCAAAAGCAATTGAAATCCAAGAAAACAAAGCCCCTTAAAAGGCGTCAAAAGACCACTTGCAACTGGCCGCAACTTTGTACGTTCTACCTGGAGTTAAAAGAGAAAGGTACTCACCACCACAAGATAGAAAACCAAAGTAAAACAACATTATATTCCAATAGAAAACAGGCAATGAAATAAAATGCAAAGGCCATTGGACATTACCATGGTATCAATATCCCGGTCAAGGAGATCGTTTATGGTGCATCCAGCGCCCCTTAAGAGCAGAGCCCCACATCCAAATAGTGTCATCATCTTAATATCAGGAAGGTGTCCTGGGCTTGCTGCCAATGTTATTGACCTGCACCAACAAGCATGACTTTTCAGACAACTTCAACTTAAACAAAGAAATATATCGTTGCCAATGATTAGAGATTACTCTTGTTTTTATTTCAGCAAGTAAATTCAACAAAACGAAATTGCCATCAGTGAATGTGGTTTCAAAACTCAAAACTTTCCCCACATTCCTTCACTTTCCGTCAAACCAAACAATGCACTGCAGAAACCCAAAATTAAAAAAGTTAAAGTGAGAATCGCTTACCACATACAAGGCCAAGCGAGCAACCAGGTGCCAATTGGCCTGTCGAGGCGAGCGAGCTTCGCATAAGGGCGAGCTTGTCTCGGCAAATACAAGTCGATCCAAGAAGCCTCAACTTCAACCTTGGCGTCATTGCTGGCCCGATTTCCGTCGTTCTTGGCGCCTGTAGATGAAGACGAGCTGGAGATGTGCGCTAGGAGTCTGAGATCAAATTCGACGCAACTGGGAGTCCAACGGTGCCTTTGAGTGAATGGGCCCAACAGGGTTGCGTTGGGATAAGGGTTAGGATTAGGATTTTTCGAGGTGGTGGTTAATTGGTAAGTAGAGGAAACTGCAAATAGGGTGCGGGAGAAAGAATGCGAAGGTTTCAGAAACCTACGCGAAGCGCGAGAGACCGGCCAAAACGACGCCATTTTCAGAATTCACTCAAATGCATCACTCAGTCTCCGCACCATACTGTTTAAAAAAACCCTCAACCAAACTACCTACTCTACTGTACACTGCAAATTTGAGAGAAGAAAAGGAAGGGGGATAGATAGATTTAAATAGCATTCCGAAAGGGCATGCTGAATTACAATCACTTCCTCCATTACAACTTAAGCTAAGGATCCATTACATGGAGCACATTATATATAATGGTGACAAGACAAGGCCAAATCAAAGTGTCTAGTGGCATGGACTGGAATCAGAAGCATTCCAGCTTGAGGAAATGGAAGCAAGGACAGAGGTCCAATGCTTCGTATAATGACAATTCCAAATTCATATTATAGGCTAGCTGTACTAGGACCGGAGGAGAAGCAACTTTTCAATTTACACATTAAAAGAAAGGAAATGAAAATTAGGCCAAGTCTTGGCCTCATCAAGCTATAAAGCTATGACCCTCCTCAAGCTATATATCGAGTTCAATCTTCTCCAACATCACAAATGAGGGGATATATAGAAGGTCTATTATCACAAAACGTCCTTAAGGTTTACGAAACTATCAGATTGCATCTTTAATGTTTTTTGGTGTCATTCGTGGTCCTTAAGATTAGTATGTGTGATCACAGATCGTCCCTGCTATTAGGTTCCGTAAAAAATTCCTTTAGTTTGCTGATGTGACATACATATATATATATATATCACAAAACATCCATGAGGTTCACACACCTATCACAAATGGTCCATGCAATTTTTTTAAAATTTTTTATATTTAAAATTCATAACATTTTGGTTTTCTTTTTAAAATTTTATGAATTTTAAATTATTTAAAAATACATATTATATTTAAATACATGTGACACTATAATATTGTAGATGTGGGCTCCATATATATGCCACATCAACAAACTAATGAAGTCTTTAAAAAATAATTTAAAAATGAAAAAACTAAGGGTTTAGAGTTCATAAATGATCCTCAAGATTAAAATCCTTATATATATAGTTTTTTCATTTATAAATAATTTTAAAAAGAAAACCATAATTTTATGAATTTTAAATTCAAAAATTAAAAAAATTTCATATGGACCATTTGTAATGGGTGTGTGAACCTCAGGGATGTTTTGTGATATATATATATATATATATATATATATGCCAAGTCAGCAAACTAACGGAGTTTTTGAGGAAACCTAACGGCATGGACCATTTGTGATTGCACATTTTGAGGACCACGAGTGACACAAAAAAACATTAAAGATGCAATCTGATAGTTTCGTAAACCTTAAGGACGTTTTGTGATAATAAGCCTATATAGAATATAGACGAATAAACAAAACCCAGCTAAATTTATCCAACAATGAGGAGTTTAAAGTGAGGGATCAATCGACTTAAGGCCCCATTTGACTCAAGAGAAATGAGCCTTTGGGGTGGGAAATCAATTGCTTTACCATATTTGGTAAGTTCAAGCATGAGAAATCGTTGCCTTGCACATGGGAAAGTATGGGGAAAGTGAAGCCCTCCTCCCCTTTAGGTTTTGTTTTCCTCATCATGAGAAAGTTTGGGAAAATAAGCCAACATTAAATACACATTTTTCATGACCATATTGTCTCCATTAACAATTTAGAATTACAATATAGCATTAAATGCATTATTATTTGATTCATATGCGTATAATTGAAAAATTAAACAAACTTTGTTTTACATTCCTACACAAACTAAACATGTGAAAGGAAATAAAATGATATTTTTTTTATTACTTTACTAGGATTACCAAACATGGGAAATGAATCTCTATTTCCCACCATTTGAGAAATGACGTTGGAAATAATTTCCCCTCAAATCCATTATGTGAACCAAACGAGGCCTAAATATTTTAAATATTTTGATGATGGGATTAAACCCCTAAAATAAGCTCCTCACTCTTAAACTTCTCATTGTTGAACCTCTAAAATACAATACCCAACAAACCCTACATTTTCAATTTAATTTTTATGAGTTGGGATTCTCTGCTAATCTAATTTTCTCCTAACTTTAATTAAACTTGTAAACATCACACCACATGTCCAAAATTTAATCTTAGGGCTCACAATTATTTTGAGTATTTTCCCTTTGCCTTTTCTGTTTTGTTTTTGTATATCTCTCTCTTCTGTATGGTTCCCAAATTTAATCTTAGGGCTCACAATTATTTTGAGTATTTTCTCTTTGCCTTTTGTTTTTGTTTTTGTATATCTCTCTCTTCTATATGGTTCCCAAGTTTCACAAGGTTATGAGAAGATTAGACTAGGAAAGAAGCCCAACCGAATCCATTTCTTATGTCATTGATGAATAAGAAAGAGTTAGTAGAGAAAATATATGTACATTTAAAGGATTTTTGCATAAATGTTACATAAACTTATACTTTTTTTATTTTGGTAAAATAGGGGGCAAAGCCCAAACCAAAAGGATTACACAGGAACAAATCTAGGCCTCAAGAGACCATTCTTATCATCATCTAAAATAGGCTGCAATTGATCAGGAGGAGAAGAGAGCTCATGATAACCCAAATCCTTATGATGACCCAGCTTAGCTAGGAAATCTGCAGCAAAATTGGTCTCCCTATAGACATGAAGAACGCAGCAATTCCACTGATTTTTCAAAAGTTCTTTGCACTTGGTAAGTAACACAGCCATAGGATGAGAGTCCACCCAATCTCCATTAATCATATCAACAACAAGGGCAGAATCAGAATTAACCATAATCTGGCGCAAACCCAGCTGCCAAGCAAGATTAAGACCATAATATAAGGCCCAAGCTTTAGCCACAAAGACTTCACCATGACCAAGATTAGCAGAAAAACCTGCTATCCAGTTACCATCAGAGTTCCTAATTATACCTCCTGCAACAATGCACCCAGAGTCACTCATTCTAGAGCCATCAATATTAAACTTAAAGAAGCCACAAGGTCTCGCTGCCAAGCAAGAAACATCTGAGTTTGAGAGGTAGCCTTCTTTACAAGGTTAGTAGCCTTATCCCATTCCAGAAGATACTCAACAATAATCTGATTTGGATGACAAGGCATTTGGAAATGAGGCTCAAAGATAGAACGACACCTCCATTTCCAAATGAACCAGCAAGCAACAGCAAAAATACTAGACCACTTCAAATTCCTTATATGCCCAGCATTGTAACACAAATTTTCCTTCAACCAACTATCAAAATCAGAGGCAAAGAAATTGATCAATCTTTCAGGAAGATAGAAGGATCTCCAAAGTGCAAGAACACGAGGACAGGAGATAAAGAGATGCTGTAACGACTCCTCATGGTAGTGACAGAGAGGACAAGAAGGGTCTCTAGAAAGATGCCTTCTTACTCTCTGCACATTAGTTAAGATCTTTTTCTGAGTGAGAAGCCAAGTGAACATTTTAACACGGGGAGGGATCTTCAAATTCCAAATAAACTTCCAAGGAGAACCAGTGACTTCATTAAACCTGGCAGATAACTCATAAGTAGTCTTTACAGAAAAGACTCCATTTGAAGAGGGACCCCATATACAAGTATCAGGTATATTCCCGTCAACATCTACATGAATACTGATGATCTGCATAACGGCTTCCGGTTGAAGAGCCTGCAGGAGTTTCTGAATGTTCCAACCAGTCGTAGAAAAATAATTTGACACAGTTTCAGCTTTGTCAAGCTGATCAGATAAGGGAAAATTAGTATCCACCAAAGGAACATCACCAATCCAAGTATCAGTCCAGAATTTGACTCTAGTGCCATCTCACACTCTCCATTTCATACCTTTATTTAAAATGGCAGCTCCATATATTAATCCTTTCCAAGAGCTGGAAGCCAAAGTACAATTATCATCATAAGCATCAAAACAAAAACTACCCCTTAAGTACTTTTTCCTGAGCATCGCAGCCCAAAGACCTGAGTCCCCAACCACAATTCTCCAACTAGCTTTAGATAACATAGCTTGATTCATAAGAGAAGCCTTTTTAATACCCAAACCTCCTAGACGTTTAGGCAAACAAACTGTATCCCACTTAACTAAATGAGTTTTATGATAGTTCTCACTACTTCCCCAAAGAAAACTTTTAGAAGATTTGTCAAGGTCTTCACAAAGGCCTTGAGGAAGCATAGCCGTCTGCATAGTATAAAGAGGAATAGAAGAAGCAACAGACTGGATTAAAGTGATTCTTCCAGCCATAGAAAGCAACTGACTTTTCCAAGCAGCAAGTTTAGCCTGAACTTTAACCAGAACCCCCTTATACATAGCCTTGGTAACCCTCCCTTGGACAAGGGGAACTCCCAAATAATTCCCCATATCAGCAGATCTGGTGGCACCACAAGTTAACTCAATTTGATCAACAAGGTCAGACTTAGTATTGGCAGATATGTACAACAAAGATTTCTCAAAATTCACCTGCTGCCCAGAAAGCTCACAAAACTCCTCAAGAGAATTTTTCATAACCATAGCTTGCTGAGCAGAAGCCTCACCAAAAAGAATCAAGTCATCCGCAAAGAACAGATGCGAGATTAAAGGACCAGACCTCGCTGCCCTAACAGCTTTCCATTCCTTCTTTAACACCTTAGCAGCAATGATGTGACTAAGCTTTTCCATACATAAGACAAAGAGGTAAGGGGAAAGAGGGTCACCTTGTCGAACACCTCTTTGAGGTTTGATACTCTCAGTAAGCTCCTCATTCAAGATAATTCTGTAAGAGACATTCTTAACACAGCTCATAATGAGATGAAGAGAAGTTTCCCCAATACCAATTTCTGCAAGAGTTTGCTCGATAAAAGACCATTTCAATCTGTCATACGCCTTAGAGAGGTCAATTTTCCAAGCTATATACCCGGTTTTACCTCTTGCTCTATGGAATCTATGCAAAACCTCTTGAGCAATGAAGATATTATCTGAAATTTGTCGTCCAGGAACAAAGCTAACCTGATTGGGGCTAACAAACTTACACATAAGAGGTCTGAGCCTTCCAACAATGATCTTAGAAACAACTTTGTATAAAGTGTTACAAAGACTAATAGGCCGGAACTGCAGCATGCTCTGAGGATTAGTGATTTTAGGAACTAGAGTAACAAGGGTACTGTTCAGGGACTCTGGAACAGAACCACTAGAAAAACATTTAAACACCAAATCTTCAATATCCTTCTTACAAAGACACCAATGATTATGGAAGAAAATAGCAGAGTAGCCATCGGGACTAGGAGCCTTGTAGGGACCAATAGCAAGAAGGGCATCCTGCACCTCCTTTTCAGTGACCTCATTACTGACAGCAGCCAAATCAGCCTCAGAAATATGAGGGAAAAGGGAAGGCAAAGGACTACGAATGATATCAACAAAATCATCCAAAAAAAGCCCATGAAAATACTCTATCTAATCCCCATTAATATCTTTAAGCCTTTCAATCCTATTCCTTCTTCTTCTGACAAGAGTAGTAATGTGAAAGAACTTGGTATTTCTATCCCCACCTTGCAGCCAAGAAACTCTAGATTTTTGTTTCCAAAACACATCCTCCTGATCCAATAAATTCTCAAACTCCTGTTGAAGTTGCTTCTCAAGATTGCTCAAAAAAGGGGAAAAACCCTTACAAAGAGCCCTTTGGATGCCTTGAAGCCTAGCAAGAATTCTCTTTTTCTTTTGAAAAATTTGACCAAAGACTTGGGTATTCCACTCCCGAAGCAGGGGAATCAACAAATCCAGTTTAATAGAAACTGAACCTTCCAAATTCTTCCACTCAGCTTGAATGAACTCAGGAAATAAACAATGTTTAAGCCACATAGCCTCAAATCTAAAAGGTTTAAGCTCAGCTGAAGGAATCTTATCAGAAATAAGACTAATCAAAAGATGACTATGATCAGAACATCGTCTAGGCAGATGCCTTACGAAAGCTTCAGGAAATAAAACCCTCCACTCCTTGTTACAAATAACCCTATCCAATCTCTTCATCACAAAGTCACCACCAGCTCTCTTATTAACCCAAGTAAACTTGGGTCCCAAAAAACCCAAATCAATGAGCCCATGCTGATCAAACCAATCCTTGAAACCTCTACTTATAATTTTCCAAATTTTTCATCCTCGAACAAGATATCATTAAAATCCCCACAAACAACCCAAGGAAGATTCCAAGAAGCAGCAATAATAGTTAAGTTTTGCCAGAGGTAAGCCCTCCTAGCCGGGCAAGGATGCCCATACACGGCAGTAAAAATCTAAGAAATACCTCCAGAAGTCTCAACACAAACAGAAACAGCTTGATCCATGCAATGAATGACTCTCAAGTTGAATTTAGCATCATCCCATAGCAACCAAATACCACCAGAGAAGCCAACAGCATCAGAAATTTCAGCCTTAGGGAAGCCAAGTTGAGAAATGACTTTCCGAGCTTTACTGGAACTAATTCTAGGCTCCAAAATAACCAACATATCCAACTTATGTCTATACTTAAGATCTTTCATAGCAAGCAAAGATCTCTTATTACCTGCCCCTCTAATATTCCAACAACCAATCATTAAGATGGAAGGAAGAGAGAAACGGTCAAACCAGACCTAATCAGAATTGGTAGACAAAGGCCCCATACATTTGAGACCTTGAGCCTTGCCATCCTCTGCACAACAAGCAGACACATCAGCAATTAAAGCTTCACCAACTTCAGACTCCAACTGCACACTCACATAATCCCTCAAATCCTGAATTTCCATATCCTGATCAGCAGCTCTAGAAACCACAGAAATAATATTTGGAGCTCAAGGCTTAGGAATGGAAGAATACTCATTCCTACAAGCCTCAACCTCCCCAATTTCCAAACCTCCATTATCAAAGCTAGTCATAGGCTTCCTAAGATTACTCAAAGCCTGGTCCAACTAAGACACAGACTTTATAGCAGAACCATGAGGCAAACTCTTAGAGCTAGGCCTCAAAACAATTGCAGGCCTAACAGCAGATTTATTTGAAATATCAGACAAAACCTTCCTTGGCCTACCAATCTTTTTCTTGCCCTTATTAGTAAGAATTGGAGCATTCCAACCACCATCATCTTTACTTTGAACAGTCTTCCCATTACTTGACAGATGATTCTCCAAAGTTCCAAAAACATGCTCTTGCTCACTATCAAAACACTCATTCTCCAAGATATTAAATATAGAACCAGAAGCATCATAAGTCCCAGCCTCAGAAATACCCTTTTGAATAACTTCCTTTTTATCTTTCTGAGGCAAATTATTGCTGGAATAAAAAGTCTTCTCCTGTCTCTTGTGGACGACCTCAGGGCTAACACCCTTTCCTTTATCATCACTAGCAGTAGTCCCATTTTTAAAATTCTTCTTCCAAGCTTTTCTAGTCGGAACAACATTCCAGATGCCAAAACCTGCCTTATCCCCAGAAGGATCAATTGGGCCTCTTTAATTATCATCAAGCCTCATCTTACGTAACTTCTCCACTTGATGAGAACACATCTCTTCTTGAATATCCCTAGTCATATCCATATCCGGCTCATTATTCTTATGGATAGGTTTAGCAAAAGGACAATGCTCTTTACTGTGCCCAACTCTGCAGCAATTAAAACAAATCACAGGGAGATTTTCGTATTCCACTCTCATAGGCCTACCCTCAACAACTAGGTAAGGGATGAGAGGCATATTCAAATCAATTTCAACACAGACCCTTGCAAACTTACCTCTCATCTGACCAACAGTATGAACATCAACCTTATATGATGAGCCAATCAAATCCCCAATACACTTAATAGTCTCAGAATTGAAGAATTCAACTCCCATACCAGATAATCTCACCCAAACAGTAATACGGGAGACATGCTCCTCAGCTGCACAAAAATTAGGCCTCCATTTTTGAACAGCCACATACTGTCCTGCTACTACCCAAGGGCCCCCAGTTAACATACACAACATATCCTCCTCCAGAACAAACCGAACAATGAAAAACCCATTGTCTAAATCAACCAATTGCATAGGACCCTTAAGCCTCCAACGTTGCTTCAACCTTGCAAAGACAAAATTATAGGTATGAGTCTTCCCTACAAACTGGATAATCACAGAATTTTTCCACGGTCTATAGATCTTGTTTTTAACATGATCAGAAAACCGAATCGAAGGACCATAAGGAGAATCCTTAACTTCATAATCACTAGCTTCAATAGAGAACCCATCCTTCTCCATTCCTTCAGTATATTCAAAACAAGAAGAGCTTAGTAATTTATCTTTGAAATTGATCTCTGGCAAGGGAGGGATCTGATCGAACTGCTCCATGCCACCATCATCTCTTCCAGAAGTCGCAAAATCCTCTGAACGGAACCGTTTGGATGAACCATCCTTCATGACAACAGGACTCTTCGTAAACCGGTGAGCCAAAAACCTGAAACCAGGAGACGCAGACGCCATCGAGCCGATCAGATTTGGAAGATTGGTCAAGAGGACGCAGGAGGAAAGGGAACGCGTGGGGCGCGTTCAAAAAAATAGCTTTAAACTTCTTAGAATATGTATATTCCACTTTCAAGCATGTTGTTTTCAACTCAGAGGCACACATAAACTTATACTTCATATTCAATTTGTCACTTTAAAGAAAAATTTAAGAGAAATGTCACTTTAATTTTTCAAAATCCATGATTTGTCAGATGACTTTAACACCATCCATTTTAAAGGGTATTGTAGTTGTTCCATTTTCAAGGGCATTTTAAAAAAGAAAAAATTATTATTAAAAAAATTGTATACCTTTTAAACAATTAAATTTGAAAAAAACTAAATTATCACCTTCACCCATCACATGTGCGCCACCAGCTCCAACCAACCCCACCCACCTCAAAATTCATTCCCCCTTCCCTTTTCACAACCCCTTCCTCCAATCTCCCTTCCCTATTCCCCTTCATATTTCTCTCTCTACCATGGAACATCTACACTCCACGCACAAATTCCCTCAGGCCAACCAAACTGAGTCCACCTTTTTTTTCTTCTTTTTGGTAATTTTCCATTTGCATATTGAAAATTTGTGGAAGGACACTTCAACAGAAACACAATCCCACATTAAATCAACATAATTAAAGATTCCCGAATATCTTGGGGATTAGGGCATGTACATCTTGGGAAATTTATCCTTAACCCTCCGTTTGGATGAGGGAAAATAACTCGGAATTTAGCTAAAAGTCGGGAATTTAAGAGGAGAAATTGACAATTCCCATGTTTGGCAACTTAAGCGCGGAACTTATTAAATGACGTGTAGAAAAAATCATGGAAATTGAGGCATCAAATTCCCGAGTTTAATTTCCACCAAAATAGACGTCATTTCACAATTTCCATAGTGCGGGAATTCATATTTTCCAGTGTGCCAAAACTTACACACACAAAACACAAAACAAAAAAAAAAAAAAAAAAAAAACATTTCATAAAAAAAAGACCTTATTGATTTATTGTTCACACTTGGACCTTTGTTTCTCTTGTTTCGTGTATTTCATGGTTTTTGTTTTGTTTTTTGTGGTAGACAAATTTAATTAGAATGATCATTACTTCTTAAGTTATTTGTTTCTATGAGTACTTGACTATTCTATTACATGTTGTCATGCTTACTGATGTCCAAAGTTGGGATTCTCTACCTAATTTCCTTTCTAATTGTATTTTAAACATACAAAAGTGAACAAGCAGGGGCTGAAGTCATGAATGGATTTGGAGGAAAACATGCTTGCAAAGGAAAGACAAACAAGGAGTTGAACCTGAAGAAGAAGACAAAAACTATTTTCGGTGGAATATAGCTATGGAACGTGAATGAGCTGATATACTTCGCCAGAAGCGCAGCTTAGGTCACAAAGGAGATGGTGGATGGAAGGCAGTTGCTTACAATACTACTGCAAATATATTAGCTGCACAATTTAATCTCTAGATAAGTGCTGATAATATTAGAAATTGTGTTAAGTCCAAAGTCAAAAAAAGAGTATGTTGTTGATGTTTATTGCACGTGGGGAGTGATTTGGTTTGCTATTATTTAAGTTGAGTTATTTAGTTCATCAAACAATATGTTATTTTATACTTCGAGGAATACCTTCTATGTCGGTTATCAGTTTTTTTGTTCTTTCGAAATATTTAATTTCTGTCATTTATAATTTACATGAGTTATCCAAACATTGAAATTTTCAATTTCTGTCATTTACAAAATTCTACATACATAAATCCAAACACTGAAATATTCAATTGCCAGAAATTGAAATGACAGAAATCTAAATTCCGTCATTTTAGAATTCCATGTAATTTGCAATTCCTTCATCTTGGGAAATTTATCCTTAATGGATTCCAGGCTAATTTCCACTTTTTATTATTATTGGAAAATAAAACAACCCAAACCAAATCACCCATTTTTGTCCATCACTCAGCAGCAGCAGCTAACCAAAGCGAAAGCGAGAATTAGGCAGCATCTTCATCATGGCAAAAGTCTTCCAAGTAGGATTCCAATGAAAATAATTGCACCAAACCACTTGTTCGACACAAATCTGGAACCAACACAACACCAAATTCTTGCTTAGTTAGGCAATAATAACCCAAAATTTTATTATCAATGCAATTCATATATTTATACCGCAACACGTACTTTCTGTTGCAATCAAGCGGGGATGAAAGGTCAGCTGTCCATATCTGCCAAGCTAAATGTCCAGATGCAACTCCCAAACTTGCATAGTACGCCCACCCTTCTCCATACCATATGTTATATAGTTACGAAACGTGACAGAATAAAACAAGAAGAAAAATGAAATGAGATTCAACTTCAATAAATGAATGAGGGAGGAAAAGAACCAGACCAAGTTTAGCATTATATCCAGCGAGGGCAAGACTAGTGATGCACATAATTCCAAACCCAGTAAGCCATTTCTTGGTTGAATCGCCAAATCTCAATGCCGTAGACTTGACACCTATTTTCACATCATCTTCCTTATCCTGCAATGCAAGCACAAGGTCATGATGAGTAATTAACTAATTTCGTGACACTCAAATATTGTTTTACGTACGTACCTGATGTGCATATATGGTATCATAGACGAGTGTCCAGAATACTCCAGAAATGTACAAGGGCAGCATTATAGCTGGATCAATGGTTCCTTTAACTGCAGCCCATCCTAATAAACCCCCCCAGTTCATCATCAAACCTAGATACGCTTGAGGCTGCATGATGCACACAACACAACGTCATCATAGCTACCATTTACTAATTATTAATCACTCAAGCTTCAGGATTCATGCTCAGGTTTAATTACCCAATATGTCACCCTCTTCATGAGAGGGTAGGTGAAAATTAGCAACAGCCACGCAGCCCCCAAAACACGGCTGTCAATTAATCATTATTAATTACACAATAAACGACTTGGATGAGTAAAATACAATACATAATGGATCCAACAAGAACCTGTAATTATTCAGTTGAAGGAGAAGTCCAAGACCCAAAAGCAATTGAAATCCAAGAAAACAGAGCCCCTGAAAAGGTGTCAAAACACCACTTGCAAGTGGCCGCGACTTTGTGCGCTCCACTTGAAATATTAAGGAAGCTTCACTAATATATCCAAAATAGGGGCTGAAATTATAAATAAAAAAACCCCACATGGAATGTACTTTAGAAACACACTCAAAACTCATTTACTACATAAGAAATTGGTGTTGAAGTTCTTATAATTACGTACTGCCATTGATCAACTTAAAAGAAGCCCAACACAAAAAACTTAAATAACACTCAAAACAAGCCCAACCCAATTTTATAAAAAAACCCAAACAATTCATTACAAACAAAATGTCTTGAAAACCGTAGTTTCATTAACGTATCATGTTAATTAATGATTATAATGTCCCACACATTTATTGTCATGTTGATTAATGACTGTAATGTTCCAGTCTATGGTAATAACACTCTAGTTTACTGTCATGTTGATTAATAGCTGTAATGTTATAATCTAGGGTAATAACACTGCTAGTTTCCTATGACATCTTATTTCTAATGCATGTCTACCCATGTAATGTTCCAGTCTATGGTAATAACACTACTAGTTTCCTATGATATCCTATTTCTAATTCATGTTTACCCCTGTAATGTTTTAGTTTAAGGTAATAATACTGCTAGTTTCATATGACATCCTATTTCTAATGCATGTCTACCCATGTAATGTTCCAGTATAAGGTAATAATACTACTATTTTGTAATGTTTCAGTCTAGGGTAATAACATTGCTAGTTTACTGTCATGTTGATTAATGACTATAATGTTCCAATTTAGAGTAATAACACTTCTAGTTTACTGTCATGTTGATTAATGACTGTAATGTTCCAGTCTATGGTAATAACACTACTAGTTTTATATGACATCCTATTTCTAATGCAGGTCTACCTCGTGTAATGTTCCAGTTTAGAGTAATAACACAACTATTTTCCTATGACATCCTATTTCTAGGGTAATAACACTACTAGTTTCCTATGACATCCTATTTATAATGCATGTCTACCTTTGTAATGTTCCAGTCTAAAGTAATAACACTGCTAATTTCCTATAACATCCTATTTTTAATGCATATCTACCCCTGTAATGTTCCAGTCTAAGGTAATAACACTGCTAGTTTAATGTCATGTTGATTAATACTTGTCTTGTTGCTATTTTTAATACATGTCCACCAAAAAAAAGAAGAAAGAACAAACCAGACCAACTCAAAACAAGCTGAGCCCAGATTGTTAATATTATTATGTCATAAAAGTATATTGTTAGTACTTTGTCATAAAAGTACATTGTTAAATAAAAATGAGATTTATAACTGAAATAGTAACAAAGGATAAATCGATCATCAAAGCTTAAAATACATTTTGAAAATCAACTAAAATCTAAAGAGAAACACATAATTGAAGCAAAAGATCAAAAATCTCAAGTCCAAACCAAACGACAATGACGACAATAAAGATGACGATGATGACGACAACGATGTGGTGAAAGAAGAGTAGAGCTAAAAGATGACCAATTTCTATCAGGGTACTCACCACCACAAGATAGAAAACCAAAGTAAAACAACATTATATTCCAATAGAAAACGGGCAATGAAATAAAATGCAAAGGCCATTGGACATTACCATGGTATCAATATCCCGGTCAAGGAGATCGTTTATGGTGCATCCAGCGCCCCTTAAGAGCAGAGCCCCACATCCAAATAGTGTCATCATCTTAATATCAGGAAGGTGTCCTGGGCTTGCTGCCAATGTTATTGACCTGCACCAACAAGCATGTCTTTTCAGACAACTTCAACTTAAACAAAGAAATATATCGTTGCCAATGATTAGAGATTACTCTTGTTTTTATTTCAGCCAGTAAATTCAACAAAACGAAATTGCCATCAGTGAATGTGGTTTCAAAACTCAAAACTTTCCCCACATTCCTTCACTTTCCGTCAAACCAAACAATGCACTGCAGAAACCCAAAATTAAAAAAGTTAAAGTGAGAATCGCTTACCACATACAAGGCCAAGCGAGCAACCAGGTGCCAATTGGCCTGTCGAGGCGAGCGAGCTTCGCATAAGGGCGAGCTTGTCTCGGCAAATACAAGTCGATCCAAGAAGCCTCAACTTCAACCTTGGCGTCATTGCTGGCCCGATTTCCGTCGTTCTTGGCGCCTGTAGATGAAGACGAGCTGGAGATGTGCGCTAGGAGTCTGAGATCAAATTCGACGCAACTGGGAGTCCAACGGTGCCTTTGAGTGAATGGGCCCAACAGGGTTGCGTTGGGATAAGGGTTAGGATTAGGATTTTTCGAGGTGGTGGTTAATTGGTAAGTAGAGGAAACTGCAAATAGGGTGCGGGAGAAAGAATGCGAAGGTTTCAGAAACCTACGCGAAGCGCGAGAGACCGGCCAAAACGACGCCATTTTCAGAATTCACTCAAATGCATCACTCAGTCTCCGCACCATACTGTTTAAAAAAAACCCTCAACCAAACTACCTACTCTACTGTACACTGCAAATTTGAGAGAAGAAAAGGAAGGGGGATAGATAGATTTAAATAGCATTCCGAAAGGGCATGCTGAATTACAATCACTTCCTCCATTACAACTTAAGCTAAGGATCCATTACATGGAGCACATTATATATAATGGTGACAAGACAAGGCCAAATCAAAGTGTCTAGTGGCATGGACTGGAATCAGAAGCATTCCAGCTTGAGGAAATGGAAGCAAGGACAGAGGTCCAATGCTTCGTATAATGACAATTCCAAATTCATATTATAGGCTAGCTGTACTAGGACCGGAGGAGAAGCAACTTTTCAATTTACACATTAAAAGAAAGGAAATGAAAATTAGGCCAAGTCTTGGCCTCATCAAGCTATATATGGAGTTCAATCTTCTCCAACATCACAAATGAGGGGATATATAGGAGGTCTATTATCACAAAACGTTCTTAAAGTTTACGAAACTATCATATTGCATCTTTAATGTTTTTTTGTGTCATTCGTGGTCCTTAAGGTTAATATGTGTGATCACAGATTGTCACTGCCGTTAGGTTCCGTAAAAAATTCATTTAGTTTGCTGATGTGGCATATATATATATATATATATCACAAAACATCCCTGAGGTTCACACACCAATCACAAATGGTCCCTGCAATTTTTTTTAATTTTTTTATTTAAAATTCATAACATTTTGGTTTTCTTTTTAAAATTTTATTAATTTTAAATTATTTAAAAATACATATTATATTTTAAATACATGTGACACTATAATATTATAGATGTGGGCTCCATATATATGCCACATCAACAACCTAATGAAGTCTTTAAAAAATAATTTAAAATTCTTAAAATTTAAAAATGAAAAAACTAAGGGTTTAGAGTTCATAAATGGTCCTCAAGATTAAAATCCTTATATATATGGTTTTTCATTTATAAATAATTTTAAAAAGAAAACCATAATTTTATGAATTTTAAATTCAAAAATTAAAAAATTTTCATATGGACCATTTGTAATAGGTGTGTGAACCTCATGGATGTTTTGTGATATATATATATATATGCCAAGTCAGCAAACTAACGGAGTTTTTGACGAAACCTAACAGCATGGACCATTTGTGATTGCACATTTTGAGGACCACGAGTGACACAAAAAAACATTAAGGATGCAATCTGATAGTTTCGTAAACCTTAAAAACGTTTTGTGATAATAAGCCTATATAGAATATAGACGAATAAACAAAACCCAACTAAATTTATCCAACAATGAGGAGTTTAAAGTGAGGGGTATAATCCCACCATCAATGAATGTGAGAAAATCAATCGACTTAAGGCCCCATTTGACTCAAGAGAAATGAGCCTTCGGGGTGGGAAATCAATTGCTTTCCCATATTTGGAAAGTTCAAGCATGAGAAATCGTTGCCTTGCACATGGGAAAGTATGGAGAAAGTGAAGCCCTCCTCCTCCTTTAGGTTTTGTTTTCCTCATCATGAGAAAGTTTGGGAAAATGAGCCAACATTAAATACACATTTTTCATGACCATATTGTCTCCATTAACAATTTAGAATTACAATATAGCATTAAATGCATTCTTATTTGATTCATATGCGTATAATTGAAAAATTAAACAAACTTTGTTTTACATTCCTACACAAACTAAACATGTGAAAGGAAATAAAATGATTTTTTTTTTTATTACTTTACTAGGATTACCAAACATGGGAAATGAATCTCTATTTCCCACCATTTGAGAAATGACATCGGAAATAATTTTCCCTCAAATCAATTATGTGAACCAAACGAGGCCTAAATATTTTAAATATTTTGATGATGGGATTAAACCCCTAAAATAAGCTCCTCACTCTTAAACTTCTCATTGTTGAACCTCTCAAATAAAATACCCAACAAACCCTACGTTTTCAATTTAATTTTTATGAGTTGGGATTCTCTGCTAATCTAATTTTCTCCTAACTTTAATTAAACTTGTAAACATCGCACCACATGTCTAAAATTTAATCTTAGGGCTCACAATTATTTTGAGTATTTTCCCTTTGCCTTTTCTGTTTTGTTTTTGTATATCTCTCTCTTCTGTATGGTTCCCAAATTTAATCTTAGGGCTCACAATTATTTTGAGTATTTTCCCTTTGCCTTTTGTTTTTGTTTTTGTATATCTCTCTCTTCTATATGGTTCCCAAGTTTCACAAGGTTATGAGAAGATTAGACTAGGAAAGAAGCCCAACCGAATCCATTTCTTATGTCATTGATGAATAAGAAAGAGTTAGTAGTGAAAATATATGTACATTTAAGGGATTTTTGCATAAATGTTACATAAACTTATACTTCAGATTCAATTTGTCACTTTAAAGAAAAATTTATGAGCCTTAATTTTTCAAAATCCATGATTTGTCAGATGACTTTAACACCATCCATTTTAAAGGGTATTGTAGTTGTTCCATTTTCAAGGGCATTTTAAAAAAGAAAAAATTATTATTAAAAAAATTGTATACCTTTTAAACAATTAAATTTGAAGAAAAATAAATTATCACCTTCCCCTATCACATGTGCGCCACCACCAGCTCCAACCAACCCCACCCACCTCGAAATTCATTTCCCTTTCCCTTTTCACAACCCCTTCCTCCAATCTCCCTTCCCTATTCCCCTTCATCTTTCTCTCTCTACCATGGAACATCTACACTCCACGCACAAATTCCCTCAGGCCAAACAAACTGAGTCCACCTTTTTTTTCTTCTTTTTGGTAATTTTCCATTTGCATATTGAAATTTTGTGGAAGGACACTTCAACAGAAACACAATCCCACATTAAATCAACATAATTAAAGATTCCCGAATATCTTGGGGATTAGGGCATGTACATCTTGGGAAATTTATCCTTAATGGATTCCAGGCTAATTTCCTCTTTTTATTATTATTGGAAAATAAAACAACCCAAACCAAATCACCCATTTTTGTCCATCACTCAGCAGCAGCAGCTAACCAAAGCGAGAATTAGGCAGCATCTTCATCATGGGAAAAGTCTTCCAAGTAGGATTCCAATGAAAATAATAGCACCAAACCACTTGTTCGACACAAATCTGGAACCAACACAACACCAAATTCTTGCTTAGTTAGGCAATAATAACCCAAAATTTTATTATCAATGCAATTCATATATTTATACCGCAACACGTACTTTCTGTTGCAATCAAGCGGGGATGAAAGGTCAGCTGTCCATATCTGCCAAGCTAAATGTCCAGATGCAACTCCCAAACTTGCATAGTACGCCCACCCTTCTCCATACCATATGTTATATAGTTACGAAACGTGACAGAATAAAACAAGAAGAAAAATGAAATGAGATTCAACTTCAATAAATGAATGAGGGAGGAAAAGAACCAGACCAAGTTTAGCATTATATCCAGCGAGGGCAAGACTAGTGATGCACATAATTCCAAACCCAGTAAGCCATTTCTTGGTTGAATCGCCAAATCTCAATGCCGTAGACTTGACACCTATTTTCACATCATCTTCCTTATCCTGCAATGCAAGCACAAGGTCATGATGAGTAATTAACTAATTTCGTGACACTCAAATATTGTTTTACGTACGTACCTGATGTGCATATATGGTATCATAGACGAGTGTCCAGAATACTCCAGAAATGTACAAGGGCAGCATTATAGCTGGATCAATGGTTCCTTTAACTGCAGCCCATCCTAATAAACCCCCCCAGTTCATCATCAAACCTAGATACGCTTGAGGCTGCATGATGCACACAACACAACGTCATCATAGCTACCATTTACTAATTATTAATCACTCAAGCTTCAGGATTCATGCTCAGGTTTAATTACCCAATATGTCACCCTCTTCATGAGAGGGTAGGTGAAAATTAGCAACAGCCACGCAGCCCCCAAAACACGGCTGTCAATTAATCATTATTAATTACACAATAAACTACTTGGATGAGTAAAATACAATACATAATGGATCCAACAAGAACCTGTAATTATTCAGTTGAAGGAGAAGTCCAAGACCCAAAAGCAATTGAAATCCAAGAAAACAGAGCCCCTGAAAAGGTGTCAAAACACCACTTGCAAGTGGCCGCGACTTTGTGCGCTCCACCTGAAATATTAAGGGAGCTTCACTAATATATCCAAAATAGGGGCTGAAATTATAAATAAAAAAACCCCACATGGAATATACTTTAGAAACACACCCAAAACTCATTTACTACATAAGAAATTGGTGTTGAAGTTCTTATAATTACGTACTGCCATTGATCAACTTAAAAGAAGCCCAACACAAAAAACTTAAATAGCACTCAAAACAAGCCCAACCCAATTTTATAAAAAAAACCCAAACAATTCATTACAAACAAAATGTCTTGAAAACCGTAGTTTCATTAACGTATCATGTTGATTAATGATTATAATGTTCCACACATTTATTGTCATGTTGATTAATGACTGTAATGTTCCAGTCTAGGGTAATAACACTGCTAGTTTACTGTCATGTTGATTAATGACTGTAATGTTCCAGTCTATGGTAATAACACTACTAGTTTTATAGACATCCTATTTCTAATGCATGTCTACCTCGTGTAATGTTCCAGTCTAGAGTAATAACACAACTATTTTCCTATGACATCCTATTTCTAGGGTAATAACACTATTAGTTTCCTATGACATCCTATTTATAATGCATGTCTACCCTTGTAATGTTCCAGTCTAAAGTAATAACACTGCTAATTTGATATGACATCCTATTTCTAATGCATATCTACCCCTGTAATGTTCCAGTATAAGGTAATAACACTGCTAGTTTAATGTCATGTTGATTAATACTTGTCTTGTTGCTATTTTTAATACATGTCCACCAAAGAAAAGAAGAAAGAACAAACTAGACCAACTCAAAACAAGCTGAGCCCAGATTGTTAATATTATTATGTCATAAAAGTATATTGTTAATACTCTGTCATATAAGTACATTGTTAAACAAAAATGAGATCTATAACTGAAATAGTAACAAAGGATAAATCGATCATCAAAGCTTAAAATACATTTCAAAAATCAACTAAAATCTGAAGAGAAACACATAATTGAAGCAAAAAATCTCAAGTCCAAACCAAACGACGACGACAACAATAAAGATGATGATGATGACGTCAACGATGTGGTGAAAGAATAGTAGAGCTAAAAGATGAGGAGTAGAGCTAAGAGCATCTAATTGAGGTTCGTTCAAGGTTCCAAACAATCCGGAAAAAAAATATCAATAGAAGGACGATTTTAGAACAAGAAATCGAATGTGAAATATTGAAATTTGTAGATGAGAGATGAAGAATATAGTTGGACCTGAGATTGAGCTTCAATGGAAGCTCCTCTTGCTCCAACATCGAGAAAGCACCATCGAGAAAGGAGAAAATAAATTTGATTTGGGTTTTTTGGCAGATCTGGACAGATTTGATTTTTTGGCAGATATGGATAGATCTGGGCATATTTGATTTTTCTCTCTCAAATCCATAGTACAAGGGCAATATAGGTATTTTACACACACAAATAAACTAAAAAATAGCTATTAAATTTAAAAAATTGATAGTTGTCGGTATTTGGGGTTTTTTTTGGGTGTGTTTATAGTTTTTAAATGGTATATGATTTCTTTATAAGACTATATCTAAGATTGGGTATATAACTAAATTTGTAAAGGGGGCCGATCCGTGACACCATATTTTTTACTCAAATTTTGACACAATTGTTTGGCCATTAGATTACTCCACTTTTAATGGTTGAGATTAAATCTAACATGGCAAATACTTTTAATATTTTAAATAAACAGTCATTAATTTTATTTTCTCTCATAAAAATAAAAAAATAATAATTTTCTCTCTCCTCCCTTTTTTCTTGGAAACGTAATCTCTCTTCTTGGTAATATCCATTTTTTCTGAGTAATCTAATCTATCTTCTCTCTCTCTCTCTCTCTCTCTCTACATAAATGAAGATATTATGGCAGCATTGAGGAGGTGAGCTTTTCAACACTTGATAATATCTTAATAGATTATGCGTGAGACTTAATATGCTATGTTATGGTAGGAAACTCAAAATTTATTGCTTGCTCCATAGATTGTGTGACTCTACCTTGTCGGCCATGCTTCCTCTGCTTTTACAACCTTTAAAGCTGGCCTTGCCTCAACCCAATTCACACTGCCAGATTATCTTTAATCCGTTTTCTATTTGCCTATATTGATCTCTCAAGTTCTCAGCTCTTTGATTGAATCGGCCATGAAAATGATATGAAACCAGTCAGGTCTGCCTATAGCTTTGATCAATGAAGTATTTCACTGAATAAATTCTCTTATGACAGTCAGGTCTTCCACAAAAAAAGTGAAAGGAATAAATTTAGGAGGAAAATGAAAATGAAATGAAACCACAATGCAAATATTAATTAAGAAACTGGTTTGGGGATATGAGAGAGAGAGAGAGAGAGAGAGAGAGAGAGAGAGAGAATGAGGCGTCAATTCTCAGTAGAAGAAAGAGAGAATGAATGAATTAAAGAAAATTAATGAGATGAGAGAGAATGAATTCTTAATTAATATGGTATCAGAATTTTAAACCCAATGTATAGATATTAATTAAAGAGTTTTGTCATGTCATGTTTAATCTCAATAATTAAAAGTGAAGTAATCTAATGGCCCAAAAATTGTGTCAAAACTTGTGTAAAAAATATGGTGCCAGAGATCTGCCCCAATTTGTAAAATATTAATTGCATATTTATTTAATATCATCATGTGCATCACTCTCAAGTTGCATAAAATTAATGTTCTGTTTTTATCTTTAATGAGAAGGAGGTGATGTAACCTACCATGGCATCAATATCGCGGTCAAGGAGATCGTTTATGGTGCATGCGGCGCCCCTGACAACGAGAGCCCCAAATACAAATAGTGTCAACATCTTAATGTCAGGCAGGTGTACTCCTGGAGTTGCTGTCAATGTTATTGACCTGCACGGTGCACCCACAAAACAAAACATCCACACCTACCTACCTTAATTTCAGTTTCAGAAAGCTTAATTAATTACAATACATACCTTAATTAAAATTCGAATCAGTAAAAAATGATGACTCAGAGTCTCAGACTCACTAACCACATGCAAGGCCAAGCGTACAACCATAGGGCTTGGGCCTTGTCGAGCCGAGCGAGCTTAGCATAAGGGCGAGCTTGCCTCGGCAAATACAGGTCGATCCAAGTAGAACCCTCAACTGCAACCTTGGCAGAGGCCTCATCATCGTCCTTGTCGGCGCCTGTGGATGCAGAAGACGAGTTCCTCGACACGTGCGCTTGGCGTCTGAGATCAAAGTTAACGCAACTGGGACTCCAACTCCGGCGCCTTTGACTGAATGGGCCCAACAACAACAACAAGCTTGCGTTGGGATACGGGTTTGTGTTAGGAGGATTGCTGCTGCTTGTGATGGTTACTGGGTTATAAGAAGAAGAAGAAGAAGAAGAGGATACGCCTGCGGATTGGGTACGGGAGAGAGAAAACGAGGGTTTCAGAAACCTTGGCGAAGCGGGAGAGGGAGACACGAGCCAAAACGACGCCATTTTCACAAGAAGACATTCAATTGCGTGAATAATCGATCAGTTGTTCTCTTCTCTTCCCAGCGAACAAAACGACACCAGAGTCACATTACTTAATCAACATTTAGTTTAATTGAGTCAAAAAGTCATTTTTGGACCGAAATGCCCCTAAACAATTAAATTTGTCTGAAATTGAAAACCACATAGATAAAATTGATCAAATTGAAACGATATGGACTAAAGTGATGAAAGTAACAAATTACAAAGACAAAAATAATTTTTTTGCTTTTAATTTAAACATATACTAGCCTCTCCGCATGCGATAGGCTTTTTTTTAAAGAAATTTTTAAATTTATTTTAGAATTAAAAAAGATAATGAATAGTTGTGTTCCATAAAAATAAAATTCATTATCTAATTTTTCTTTTAATTTTAATTTTTTAATAAGAAAAAAATGTGAATTTACCATATTATTCTCATTTAATTAATAATTTCAATTCTTAATGTTTGCATTAACTAAGAGTATTTTATGGTATTTTGAATGTTTCACAATTCTCTGCCTTTTGCTTTATAAATATAGATTAACAAACACGTTCTGAATGATTATATATATTAACAAACACGTTTACCTATTTTCTTCCTTCGAGAAATGGTGCGGGTTGGACTAATAATTAAATGAAAACCTGAATATTAAAAACCAGAAGCCCTAATAGTGGAGATAGATTAAAAGTGGAATATGCATATTTATATTTGATGGATCATGATTGGTTAACACTAAAGTTTTGGAAGATGAGTCTTTAAAAAATCACTCGTCATTGTTTAATCCATTTGAATGGAGACGTTTTTTCTTTCTTTGTTCAGGTAGCCAATGAAGAGGTTCCCTACAACCTAATATTTTAATCTTTTATATCTTACAACTTTTATGGTTTTGCAGGATTTCATTTTCATTTATTTTTTCCTCTTTTAACCTCATTTATATTTTGTGTCGCATGCTCCATTGTTACTTCTGAGCGTTTATCCCTTGGGGTGAGGGCATGTATCCCATCCTTCGTAACTTTTAAGACCTTCAAATATAGGTAATTAGTTTAGTCATGACAACTTATAATGTTAATCATATTTGATTCATGGAACGGATTTGATGGAAAATTAAAAATTACTTTCTCATACTTAGTAATGCTAGGAATGTAATCAGGAAATATTACTTTATTTCTCTTTCCATGTTTGTTATGAATAAGAATGGAAAATAAATTTGGTTTAGTTTTCCAATTGTACCCTAATTATAAATAAATAATAAAAAATACCGACACTTATTGGATTATAAATTATTAGTAGGGACACGTAAATTCAAAGGTGTAAAGCCACTTTTACATATCCTGTACACCTCCAGGAGATGCAAATGTCATCTTTACTCCAATGAGTTGGATGCAAATTCAAAGATGTAAATCCGATTTTCTTGTAATAATTTGGTTTTTGTGTTAATTTTTTGTGTTAATTTTGTGTGTGTTGGGTTTAATTATTTTTTCCAAACAAATTGACCTAAATTTTTTTAAATTACAATAAGATATAATTTCATTCAATGATGTAAATAAAATTAGTATGAACCGTCGGCTTTGATATGAATTTATTCTTCACCATTGATCAGTGTAGTTGTTAGTTTCAAATTTCAATTTGAATGAAATTTGGCTATACATTAGAGCATCTCCGACTGATGTGTCAAAAGTGTCACATAGACATTTAACAGCTAGAAATAACATCTCACATCACTCTAACCGAATTGTCAAAGCCGATGTGGAATAAAGGCTGGAGGTTTAGGCGTTACTTTGACATCCCAAAAGCAAGATTTTAAATGAATATTTTATTATTTTTTAAAGACAGCTGGCTGTTACCTTCATTTATTATTATTATTATTATTTTTTTCTTCTTTATCTTGAATAATTTGACCGTTACAATTTTTTTCCTTCTTTCTCTTTCCAACTTATTTCCTACCGTTGAACAATTTTTTTTTTAAACACACCTCTTTCATTTCAATTTCTTCAAAAAGCTAAAATAATACAAAAAGAACTTGTGCTCATACACAATTCTTCTTTTATACCAAAAAAATTTATTTTCCTTCACAGTGAATTGTGAAGAACCCCAACATGTCTCATCATTTTTCTTTTATATTATTTCAAGTTTTAGTTGCATTTGTATTGTTTTAACTTTCAGTTTCTTAAATCAGAAGTGTATTTGGTTTTAATTTGGACCATGAGAAAACGGTGGTCCATAATCCATTTGTTTGTTCTTGTTGTGATAAGATCATTGCTCTGTCATATACAACATTAAGAGTTTGTTTCATTTACATTTGATTAGTCTCATACTCTTATCTCAGTCCATATTAGAAATATAAAAATTATATTCTAAGAAGTAGTAAATAAATCAACACTAAAATTTAATAAAATAATAATTTAATTTGACATATTAGGTGGAGTTTAAAATTGTGTAAGATGTCAAATTGTCACATCAGCCATCAAATTTAAATTTGATGTTTGGTATTTGACATCTCCCTTAGAGATGCTCTTAGAGATTTATTGGATAAGAACTTTGTACATTTGCATCATTCTAATAACTTCCCCATTTTAATAAATCTTAGCCATGCCTTGGGCCCATTATTTTAATAACTTCCCAATCTTTTATGCAACTTTCATCTCTCCTCTCTCTTGGCTTTTCTGTTACGGGACCTACTTGGTTAGGTGTAAAATTAGATGTACATTTGCATCTTTTTTCCCATCTCACGACTATTATATACATTTACAACCGTATACACCTCTACATTGCAGGACATTCCGACAACTAAATGTGTATATTTGACATACAACTCCATATACACCTTATGACAAGACACGAACTGAATTTCACTTTGGAATCCCTGTCGAACCCTGTGCGTGTCCAACACTTGGCAGGTATCGGGCACAAATGTCTAAAATTCCCTTCTTGCCTTAGTCCAAAAACTGCTTTATGGTTTGACTTCTATAGGAAAACCGGCAGAGTCTCCCCTAAAAAGGCTTAAACCCAGAAATCTACATGCACAGTAAACTCAAATAATTTCCCAAGTGTTCAGCAAATTCAACTTTACAAAACGGAACATAACAACCTAATCATAAACTTTCGGCTGCACCTAGGTTAGCCTAGGTTGCCTACGTACCCTTACTGAGAGATCAAGCCATACGTAGCTCTTTATACAAGAAAACAAGGTTCAACCCATATGTAAGCACATGAATTAAATATTTATTCACACTTTCCTAAACCCAAAAGCTTCAAACTCTAATCAATCCGCTGATAATTAAGCAAAATATATTGATTTCAGAACAATCTTCCACCCATCACATATGTGCAGATACAAATACATATATATATATATAATAGCTCATTATAAATAAGTAGGAAATCGAGAAAATTATTAAAATAACATTGGGCATGTGAAACCTGAATATCAATATCAATATCAATATCAATGGTTTGAATAAAACATGCTTCAATCTTTCACATGTAAAAACAAACTCGAGAACGTATATCTTCACAGAATCGGGTAATAAGCCTGAAACGCATATCCGTCAAATCCCCTCGCAGGACTTAGGAAGATATAATCAACTTGAGAACGCAAATCCTCGCACCACACAGTTCAAGTGTCCCCGAGACTCATTGGGCATTGTTATAAATGACTAGACTATTCAACGAAGGGGGGAACTGAGGGGGTATTCCTATGATGGGTTTGAAAACCATTTTTAGAAATTTAATCATATTTTTTTTTTTTTTTTACAAATCCTTTTTTTTCCAAATCCTTTTTTTTTTTTTTTTTACTTTCTATTTTCTAAATCAGTTCTTAAATGTACGTATGTATGTATTAGGAAAAAAAAAAACTCTTCATATGTTTCTTAATTACACACGTATATAGCCATTTTTCATGTGCAATACATACGTTTAAAATACTTTCCAATAATACAAGTATTATATAATTCTTTTCCTTAATATTTAAACAAATGGTAAAAATTTCAACTGCAAAAAATGTAGAAATACAATCATTTAAGGAATTTGTATTAAAAGAATACTAGCCTCTCCCCGCGCTTTCGCGCCTGCGAGATGTTTTTTTAAAAAATAAAAAATTTATTTTGCAATTAAAAAAGATAATGGGTTGTTGTGTTTCATAAAAATATGATCCATTATTTGATTTTCCTTTTAATTGATTTTAAAAAAAATATGAAAAGTGTGAATTTATCATATTATCCTCATTTAATTAATAATTTCAATTCTTACTATTTGCATTAATCAATGACATTTTTTGGTATTTTGAATGTTTTACCATTCTCTGTCTTTTGCATTATTAAAAGACTAGCCTCTTGGCACGCACTTCCGCCCTTGTGAGAGACCTTTTTTTTAAAATTAAAATTTATTTTAGAATTAAAAAAGATAATGGGTAGTTGTGTTCCATAAAAATAGGATCCATTGTCTGATTTTTCTTTTAATTTTTTTTTAAATATGAAAAAGTGTGAATTTATCATATTATCCTCATTTAATTAATAATTTCAATTATTAATGTTTGCATTAACCAATGGTATTTTCTGGTATTTTGAATGTTTTACTATTCTCTGCTTTTTACTCTCTGTATGTATAGATATGTATAGATAAAAGAAGACTATAAAGGGGCCAATTTTTTTTACCGATTATAGAAAAATATTGTTGGAAAAAGAATATTAACATAATGAAAGATTCATTTACAAATTAAAACCGGAATTAGGCATGTGTGGGTTGATCCATAATTAAATATTCTCAAGTATCTTGGGGATTCCGCAATCCTTTATTTGGTTACAATGCATATCCTCGGAAGTTTCTCCCTGACGAAATTATCCTTCCATATTTGCTCCCTTTCTTATATTTTTATTTATTTATCTGGAAAATGAATTAATTATCAGGTGGTAGACTTTGTCACCTACTTAAACGCCCAAACCAAAACCCCCCATTTTTCTCCATATCTCTCTCGCATTTGCCTTTCTCTGTTCCATTCCCAATTTCTCAGCCCACCCATCGTCATCATCACCATCATGTCTCTCCTCTCTGATCTCATCAATCTCAATCTCTCTGATTCCACTGAGAAGATCATCGCTGAATACATATGGTAGCTACCTCTTCTCTCGCTTTTTATTTTGAAGTAACAAAATGTTATCATCCGGTAAATTATTAACGTACGCACTGTGTGACCGTGTCTGTTTTCGTTATAGGATTGGTGGATCTGGTTTGGACTTGAGAAGCAAAGCAAGGGTACGGCCTTCTTCTTCACTCTTGCATCTTTCTTTCTTCTTTTTTTTGATTTTTTTTTGCTTGAATCTTTTGATTAAATTGAATTTGTATTAAAATCAAATTAAATGATTGGTGGATGAATGTATATATATATTAAACAGACTCTGCCCGGACCGGTGACGGACCCAGCAAAACTCCCCAAGTGGAACTACGACGGTTCAAGCACCGACCAAGCCCCAGGAGACGACAGTGAAGTCATTTTGTAGTATGTATATAAATATATTTATATATCTGTATATCACTTTCAATCGCAGTCACCACCATCTCCCACTTCCTTCATTTATTATGATGATCATCCTGATCAACGGCCATGATCAAAAGCATTTTTATATATAATCCATTGAATTTGTGAGTTTCTTTCCTAAAAATATAAAAATAAAAATTTATTTGGATTTTTTTTTGGCTGGTTCAGTCCCCAGGCTATTTTCAAGGACCCATTCAGAAGAGGAAAGAACATCCTGGTAAACATTTGCATCTGATCCCCAGGCTGGCTTTATGAATTCGATTATATCTCATAATATAAAAAGAAGTCGGGGGGTAATATTGCCTTTTTTGGAATTGAAATAGGTGATATGCGATGCGTACACACCGGCTGGGGTGCCAATCCCCACCAACAAGAGATTCAATGCTGCCAAGATATTCAGTCACCCCGACGTTGTCGCCGAGGAGCCTTGGTACTACCATCTCCTACTTTAATTTTAATATTATAGCGTATTAATTTATTAACTAATTATTTATTTTTATTTTTTTTTCTACAAGAGGAATGCTAGCAACCTTCTCTTTAACCTTCTCCTTTGGACATTCTCTTGTTTTTTGCTTACATGTGTCATTCTCCTTATACTTAAAACAATGTCATTAATATATTATACAAGCTAACTTTTGCTTTCCAAGTTTACTCTTATTAAATGTATTCAAAAAAATTTCATCTTATTCATCTTTTTTTTTTTTTTTTTTTTTTTTTTTTTTTTTTTTTTTTTTAACTCAAACCCCACCATTTTTTTTTTAATTTAAAGAAAATATATGCTTTTAAGAGGAAATATTTCTTTTTTTTTTTTTTTATTTTTTATAACACAAAGGGTTTAGATTAAAAAAAAAGAAAAAAGAAGTCCTTTGTGTTTAAAAAAAAACGGACATTTCCTCTTTTTTGAAAAAAGCAGACATTTTCTTTAAAAAAAAAATTGACATTTAAAAAAATATATATGGTAAGAAAGTTGTGAATTTTTTTGGATAAATTGAATACATTTAATAAGTGTAAATTTGGAAAGCAAAAGTTAGCTTGTAAAATATATTAATGACATTGTTTTAAATGTTTGGAGAATGACACATGTCAAGTAAAAAAGGGAGAAGGTCCAAAGGAGAAAGTTAAAGAGAATGTTGCTAGCATTCCCCTTTCTACAATCATCCACCCTGACCCTACGGAATAAAATTGCTCATAGTATTTTTTTTTTTTTTTTTTTTTTTTTTTTGGTACAATGATGTGGTGTATCCTTAATGTTATTCTAATTTAGCAACTACTGGTGGGAATCACAAATATGCCATTTTTAGGGGTTAGGTGGTCGTGGGGGTGGGTTAATTTCTAGGGGTACAAGATGGATACAAAACAAGTGTGACCATTATGGTTGGTGCCTATTATGGAAAATATTTAAGGAGGTGCTCCTACATTCCTGTCAATAACAGGATGGCATGTGCGCATAAGTTTTTCTTTTTGATGAATTATTTTTGCTTGTATGTCAAATTGAAAAAGAAGTAAAGAGGCAAACAGTATTCTTAAGTTATTGCAGGTTTTGATGGTTTTAAATTATCAAGTGTGGGTAGGTGGGTTAGGTGGTAATCATGTGCAACTTTTTTACAGAATAGATTGGCCTAGGATTAGATAAGGTCAAAGCAAATACCTTAAATTGATAATAAAGGATGGATTATAATAGTCTTAAAGATATAATGCGATGGGCTCCATCATTTTGACATGTTCTTGCCAGCACTTTTGTCACTATTGACTGACTTTAATAAGGCATTACCCTTTATTAAAGTGAATTAATTATTATGACTGTCTCACGCCCGTTGTATTGTAATCATCATATTAGAAAATGTATGTCGGGAAGGGACCAGCTTAATTTTTTGAATTAGTTTTGCAAATCCGAAATAATCATTTGGGTTGGATCGACCCATCCAATCCAGGCTGTAGTTGTTGAAAAGCATGAGCCGGACCAAGAAAGTGCCGAAAACACAAACGCCCAATATAACAAAAGCAACCTTTTTTTTTGGTTACTCGGAATCGAGTTTCATTTATACCAAAGTGAACTCAGAAAATGAGTTCAACCAAATGCAACACAAACACAATCATTATACTCACAAAAGGTATAATAAATAAGAACTATTTGTTTTGGGTAGAAAAGATAGTAACATGGTATATGCAGCAAAACCTTTACTGTGAAGTTTCGTGATTGCTTAGGTATGGCATTGAGCAAGAGTACACTCTTCTTCAGAAGGATACTAAATGGCCTCTTGGATGGCCGTTGGGTGGCTTCCCAGGTCCACAGGTACTTAATTTGCTCTCAATCTGATTGCCATCAACAGCTTCTTACAAATTTTATGCCTTAATATATTAATATTATTCTTGAAAAGAAGTTTCCTAAACATAGCAGCAACTTTGTTTCTTGTATCCATGCAGGGACCCTACTATTGTGGTGCCGGGGCTGACAAGGCCTTCGGTCGTGATATTGTGGACTCACACTACAAGGCCTGCCTCTATGCAGGAATCAATGTCAGTGGAATCAATGCTGAAGTTATGCCAGGCCAGGTTATTTATATGCTCAATGCTTTTACCTTTGGTTGCTATTGCGAATTTCAGCATAAAACGTGGTGTTGTAACTTCTAATCTGTCCTGGTTTGCTGTTGCCCAACAGTGGGAGTTTCAAGTTGGCCCTACAGTTGGTATTGCTGCTGGAGATCAACTATGGGCTGCTAGATACATCCTTGAGGTAAACAAACCATATATACACATTACAGATCTATCTGCTCTGCTCTTTTGTATATAATATGGAAGGGCTTTGTGTTAATAAGATGTTGATCTGCTTGACAAAACAGAGAATCACAGAAATTGCAGGAGTTATTCTATCGTTGGACCCAAAACCAATCCAGGGTGACTGGAACGGTGCTGGCGCTCACACTAACTACAGGTAGGGTTCCTTCAATCTTCAATTCAAATTGGATTGGAATGTAATTTTACATCACATTACATGTGATGATGAGCCCTCTAAGTAAAGAGCATGTCAAGTGTGCGAATAATTGTCATTGACTATTGTTATTCCTTTCAGTACCAAGTCAATGAGAAATGATGGCGGAATTGATGCGATCAAGAAGGCGATTGAGAAACTGAGTTTGTGCCACAAGGAGCACATTGCTGCATATGGAAAAGGCAATGAGAGGAGATTGACTGGTCGCCATGAGACTGCTGACATCCACACTTTCTCTTGGGTAAGCTAAATATATAGTTATAAAACATTCATGTCACATTGCTAAGATCAACATTTCTTCTTGTGTTTTTGTTGAAATCATGTTTTACTTTTAATATTTTTAAATTCAGCACTCAAGTTTGCATTGTAAAATCACAGGGCGTGGCAAACAGGGGAGCCTCCGTCCGTGTTGGTCGTGATACCGAAAAAGCTGGGAAAGGTATGTCTGACTGAGTGTCTTCGCCACCTACAGTCAACCTGGACATATTTGTTTAATCTGTGGTTTCACAAATTTCAGGATATTTTGAGGACCGAAGGCCGGCGTCCAACATGGATCCATACGTAGTGACTTCCATGATCGCTGAAACCACCATTCTCTCCAAGTCCTAGAGATTAAATGGAGTTGGCAGTTGGGGGAGGAAATCTCTATCCATTGCAAATAACTCTTTATGAGTCTCTCTCTCTACTTCATTTGCCTGCTTTCGGTTGATTGGTTGCTGTTCTAACGATTGTATAATCGTTGATTTGTCCAATTTCTAGTTTGATGTTGTCTAAAAATCTGTAATAAAAAGGTATTAGCTATAGCCTCTTTTTTTCTTTTCTGTTTTACAAGAATTTAAACTCAAAAGTACTATGAATGAAATGATGATGTTTATAAATTAATTTTTGTCGCTTTTGATGACAATGACATTGAATCCATGTCGTTTTGTTTTTAGGATATTTTTATTTGAAGTTATTAAGAGAGAGAGAGAGAGAGAGAAAAGTAAAGAAAAGGTAAGAAGATACTATCTTTTCTAACATTTTTTTCTAGTCTTCTTTTTCTTAGAGCATCTATAAGGGGCTATTTAAACTACTTTCTTAGACAAATTTTAGGGAGGAATTGAGAATATACAACTACAACTATACTCCCTTTTTACCGCCTAAAATAACAAGACTTCTAGGAGCTTCTAAATCTGAGGAGAGAGAAAAATAACTCTTAGTGTCTCACTATAATTTAATGTTGCTTTGTTTTATACATAATTTAAACTTTTAATTAATACTAATTATTTTTTTTATAAAGACATGCCAATCATATTGAATTAAAAAATAACTATAATATTTATGACTCCCTAAACTACGGAGTATGATTGGAATTCAAATTTTATAGAGAGCTGCCAAAATAACTTTGGTGTGTTTTTAACTAAATTTTAACTACAAAATTGAGATATTTAGTCATATACCCATTCTTAGCACTAATAAAATAAATAAATCATACATTATTTTATTTCTATAAACAAGCCCAAAAAGAACCCAAAAAATAATAGCCACCCCTATTGAATTTAATTTTGATTATTAAATTACTTTGATACCCTATTGAGTGTTTTGGGCTTTTTTATGAGGTTTTGGGGTTGAGTTTATTTTAAGAAATCAATGACAGTTTTGTAATTTAAAAGAAGTTAAAAGCCTTTGTATTATATTATAAATAGACTTTGGGTGTGTTTCTAAAATCCATTTCATATGAGTTTTTTATTATAATAATTTGGACTCCTATATTAGGTATAATAGTAAATCCCTAAAAAATAAGGAGCATGGTTGTAGATACTCTTATTACACAATGTAACCGAATTGATCAGTCTCATTCGGCCAGCAAAATTTTTCATAATACTTGTAGGAGTGTAGCAGAAATGCTGCCCGCTGTTTTTTATACTCAAAATTTATGCCACGTGGCATCTTTATAATGGTCAACCAACAAGTGACCTCTGCCCCCTCTTCTTTATTAAAAAAACAGCTGCCTGACGGGCTCCACCACCACAATCCAAGTCTTGAGCTTGGGCTGGAACACGTTACAAACCAAACGTTGGGCCATGAAGTGATCAATAACTCCAACCCATATAAAACCCGGCCATACCTACATCCAAACTAAACCAAAACTAAATCAAACCAAAAAAAAAAAAAAAAAAAAAAAAAAAAAAAAAACAAACCTAGAGATGGATGGATGGATGGATGGAATGGAACAAGGACATGGCGCACCAAAATTGAAGAGCTAAAACTCATCGAACTCGCGGGCAGTGGCACGCACTCCCTCCCTTTGCGGTTTCGGAGCCCAGAGAAGTGAGAAGGAAGGACCTAGATCTTATCTCACCCTTTCTTTCTCCTTTTCCATTAAAACGGTCGTCTAGGACCATCTTTCGCTTCCCCTTTTACCGCCTCTGTCTCTCTTTCTTTTCCCTCTCTCTTTTTCATGGCCACGGACCAATCTAGGGTTTAAAGAAACCAGCAAAATAAGGTACCTCTCTAGCTCTCACGAACACACTTGTTATCTCAAATGGATTTGAATGTGTCGAACTTTTTACTTAATTATGTTTTTCTCTTCCTGTTCTTTTTGTTACGTATTGACGAATAATGTTTCCTCACTTCTGTTTGGTTGCTAAGAAAGGAGAGGAACATAATGCGGGGATTCCCAAGTTTGGAACTTTTGGTTTCTTTTAGTTACTTATCATGAAAGCATACGTAGATGCTTGCTTTTTGTTTTTTCTTCAGTGCTTACAACGGTCTAAGCCTAACAAATTCTTGTTTGTGAAATGCATGCAAATTTTGTATAGCGTATAGTCTTAGTGAAAAAGGCAAATGACGTATGGAACGCTGCAGGAGGCATGTTTACCGGAAAACCATTGATCAGAAAGAATATTTATTAGGTGATCCATCAAGGAACGAATACATATCCGTTGGAAAATTTTCTAAATCATTTATAATGTTGAAATTCTGTCTGAGGCATGATTTAAATGAATTTCTGAATAGAATATTTCTTCCTGTCCATAAAAGCTTTTCGGTGTTTTGTGTTGAAAGTAATGAACCATGAAAACAAATCTAGAAAGAATATTTAAAATTATGCAACAATGTTTGGATATCCTATTGTATTAAAGAAAAAGGCTTATAAACCAGGAACTAAAAGCAGAAAGTATATGCAATGCGTTTGGTCCTTACGCTACACATATTTTTATTTTTATTCAAACACTAATCTAGAACTCAACTGTGTAATGATCGGAGCATGCTTTGCAGCACAGGAAGATTTGGAAATAGGAAGTGATGATGAATGCAAGGAGAATAAAGTGTAAAAATCAGAGATGGGTGCTTCAACTGTCCAAATATTCGATAAGACCAAACTACATTGATCAAGGTTCTTCTCAATCTTTGGTTCATAAAACAGTTTCGGGAAACCATGGTTCGCATGGTAGTTTTATTAGAAGCTGTCTCATAGATTCATTTTCGCTGCGGAGTGTTGTTCCTGGTTATAGTTGCACTGGTTTGCTTGTGAGGTCTAATACATGTTTCAAGGGTAGTCAGTTACGTGCCTACAGTTCTGAAGGGGATGGAAGAAATGCAAGCGAGAATAATCGAGTACCAGTGAAAAGTGATGCTGATGTCGATAAAGGAAAGACTTCACAAGAAAAGGCTAGGGAAGATGCGAGGCATTTCGATGCACATGCTCTACTTGGGGAACAAGATCAAAAGGAATGGCTTAACAGTCAAAAGCTTACCAATGAGAGTAAAAAGAAAGAGTCACCGTTTTTGACTAGACGAGAGAAGTTCAAAAATGAGTTTTCGAGGAGGATTGTTCCGTGGGAGAAGATAACTGTCTCATGGGATACATTTCCTTACTACATTCAGTAATTGCTTCTCATTAGTGTTTGGTGTTGTTCCTTTCTTATCTGTTGCTCATTACTTATCAGAAGATTTAAACATATTATTTTTATTATAGTGAACCTACGAAAAACCTTTTGGTGGAATGTGCTGCTGCCCATTTGAAACATAAAAATTTCACTTCCACTTATGGTTCTCGTTTGACATCTTCAAGCGGGAGAATACTGCTTCAGAGTTCTCCAGGTTGGTCACAAATCCCACAAATCAAATTATTACCATGTGCGTTTCAATTTTTCCTGAGTGACTAATAATTTGTAGTTAAATTTGTTTCATAGAAAATAATCAACTTACCGTGTGTCATCTGCAGGCACTGAACTTTACCGTGAGAGATTAGTTAGAGCTCTTGCACAAGAACTCCAAGTTCCCCTACTGGTGCTTGACAGCAGTGTTCTTGCTCCCTATGTAAGTTTGAAAGAAATTGAATGTGTATCCCTCCCACAACACCACCCCCCCCCCCTCTTTTTCTTAGTACTCACACAGTAAGATTTTGTACTAGTTAGTTTCTGTTAAATTTTGGGGCAGGATTTTGGTGATGATTGCCAATCAGAGTCTGAATCGGATGATGATGTGGAGGAGAGTACTTCAGATTCAGAGATTGAGGATGATGTGAATCATGAAGAAGATTGGACTAGTAGTAACGAGGCAAAATCAGATTGTAGTGATAAAGATGAAGATGATGCGCATGCAAGAGCTGAAGCAGCACTCAAGAAGCTTGTTCCTATTGAAGACTTTGCAAAGGTATGGTTTTTGAAGCATCAGGGTTTTTGTATTCTTATTCGTTCTACCCTAATCATATTACGGTGATTCATAAAGTCAAGTAGTGGTCTTGTTGACGTCAATAGGAAATAAAAAGCATTTCTTGTACATCTTTAATATGAAATAGCCGAATGACATGATTTTATATGGATATATCATTGACATAGGGATTGGAGTTCATGTAGTTACTAGTACAAGAAAATTAAGAGGAATACCCAATGAGTTCACAGTGGGTATGCAGGGTGTTGGAATATCAAATCTGGCTCATCTTTGTTATACTTTTGTTTTTTTTTGTTCAATAGAAAAATGAATATTTGATTAGTAACCTGCAATTATTTGGAAAGGATTTCTTGTTAATTATATTGAGATTGATGGTTTTAAAAGTTAAGTACAACTTCTGGAATATGAGGCATGTTTTAGAAGAAAAAAAGGAAAAATGCTCTTAACAATTTACGTATGCTGGCCATGGTGCACTTACATATACTTTTCATAACCTGTGATGTATGATCTGTGGTTCATATGTGGCAGATGGTATCTGGAGAATCTGAGGGTTCATCTGAATCCTCAAAATCAGAAGCTGCTGAGACTTCTGATAAATCCAAACGACCACTAAAGAAAGGTTCCATATTTGGATTCATACCTTTTGTCTATATTGCAAATTTTATATGTTTTTGATGTGTGTTTTCCTCAATTGATAAGATTTTATATTTCTTGTTCTCTTATTATGTGTGCTCTAGTGTTCTTCTGTATAATTCTTTTTCTCTTATTCTGCTACGACATTTTGGGTGAGAAAGGTTATTCTTTGTGAATTAGTTATTTTGGTTATCAATTTTAAATGTCTTTGGGTCCCCACTGGGAAAATTGAAGTAACAACGCAACTCTGTGCATTTTTGGTGCTCATAACTTTCCAAATTACAAGTGAAACCAATTACAAAATCCTTTCTTCTGGATAC